GGAGAGAGCTGCACCGCAGTCACGGCCGCTCCTCTATGTCTGTGTATCTGCAGCGTGAGTCCCTGACAGTGAGCTCTTTGGGTTATGATGGAAGGGCCTGGGTTAGGCTTTTGATTGCCGAGGCGCCCACTGCAAAGACTCCCATCTGGAGTAAACACAGCTACGCAGGGGGACGGACGGGCAGCCGGGCCAACCCACCCAGGACGTCCCCTGCAGAAAGCCTCGGTTTGGTGACCGTGAGAATGACGCCGCTCCTCCCCTCCCATGCCCTCCTTCCCCCTCTTCTGCTTTACTTTCACCAAAAGCGAAACCGTAGGGACACCACTTTCCCTCTCTCTCTCTATTTGTGACCTCACTTGGGTAATAAATCTCAGGGGGCCTTTTCTTCCAAAAAGTCCCTGATGGTTATTTCTGAGGTTCAGCTTACGATCATACTAAGAGCCACAGGGGCCGGACCAGGCACAGCACCGACTCTGGCCGCAGAACGTCTGTGGGGTCACTCAGGGTCCCGGCCCAGCGCAGGGCCCGGCAGCACTAGCCATCGGGGACTAAGCATCTCTACGTCTAGGAACGGACTGAACCCTCACAACAGCCCCTGCGGTTGGCGCATTGCCATCTCTTGTGTCCGCCTGGCAGGGGAAGAGGGCTGAAGCGGCTTGTCCGGGACGGCACAGAGCGTGACTTGAACTCAGATCGACTGTCTTCAGAGCCCGTGCCCTTAACTTTACTCGAAGAAGGGCCCTGGGGATTTGCAGAAGGCGGGCTGGGGCCGGGAGAGTGGCAGGGAGGCCCTGGTCACGGTGAGCCTTGCCCGTCTGGCTGTGGAATTTGGACTTTGTCCCAGAGCCATGAGTGACATGACCCTGGGAGGTGGACAGACGCAACTGGGCAAGTCACAAATAGAGGTGGGGGGAGAAGTGGGGTCCCTACGCAACAAAGGTTATTGGTAAAAGCCCACATGTTTATCAGCCAGGTGTGAGCAAAAATTAGTGTTTTGAGGCTGACTCAATCTGCGGGTTTGGCTTCTAGAAGCACCTGGGGCGCCCCGTATCTGTGACACTGGTCCCGTCAAGGCCCCTTGGCCCAGCCACTGCCGGTGCCCGGAGTGTCCATCCTTCGTGGAATCAATGTCTCTGCTGCAGGCAGACCTGCTCGCTGACCTAGCGGCAGCGGGGGGAGGGGGGGCCCTGCTGCTGTCCTTGCCCATGTCCCGCCCATGTCCCACCATAGAACAGCTCGGCCACAAATGACACTCCTGGTGCCACGCCTTCGATTTCGTCAGGATTCACTGGGAACCTGGCACAGTGCCCCAATCTTTGAGTAGTTGTGTCATTCAATCCGGATGAGCTCCGCAGGTGGCCACGAGGACTGTCTCCTTTCTTATAGATGGGGAACCACCTGCCTCGGCCCCGAGAGCTGGAGAGAGGCAGCTGGGGGTGCGTGCCGGCCTGGTTACGCCAGGGCCCATCCTCTCGAACCCCCTACAGCTGTGGGTCCATCTCCCCTGGCAGGTGGGACAGGCCCCACTGTACCAATGGGGTGAAGGACACACCACAAGCAAGCAGAGAGCCACCTGGGAGCCTGTTCTGAAGAATCCGGGGCCCTGGCTTCTTCCCCCACAGCCAAGCTGTAAAGCAGGGATGGGTGCCAGGGCATCCCAGAGGGCTGAGCCTTCAGGTGCCGGACCCTTGCAGAAGGTGGCAATGACGCAGGTGCACCTGCAAAGCCTACTGCTGACAGCTACGAAGACCTGCACCCAAGGCCTGTGGGGCCCCTTGTCCGCTTTGCAAATGAAGCCACAGGTACAGGGAGGGCCAGGGACTGAGGGTGCTGGGACCACGCAGGGCTGCCCGAGGGCATGTCGGAGTGATGCGGAGGGAGGGGGCTAGACTGTAAGCTGCAGGTCATGGACCGCGTGCTGTTTGCGGCCGTCGCCCCGGGATCAGGCATGTAACCAGCACTCAGTGAAAACCTGACATACGGATGCAGGCACCGACGAGGCGCCGACGAGCGCCTGTAACTTTCCGGAAGAGGGCACAGAGGTGAGAGGGAGTTCAAGTGCTGTGGACACACTGGGACAGTTAACACTTGGTCTTATTTTCCATCGATTCCACCTTCGCCCCTAATAACCAAAGCATTTCAAAGTGCTGGTAAAAACTCTTGGTTACCCAAGGTGTTCCCAATATGTTGCTATTTAAAAAAAAAAAAAGGCAGACAACACGCCATGTTCTGCTTCTCCACTTACTATTATTAGCTGTGCATTGCCAGTAAGTTACTGAACCACTCTGTGCTTCAGCACCATCATCACCAGTGAAACAGGGAGAGTGACAGCACAGTGTGCCCCGAGGGGGGCTGCAGGGGTTAAACCTGCCCACATTTGGGGGCCATCAGTGTCCGACGCAGAGTCGGCCCTCACAAGTGCTGGCAGGCACGTCACCGGCACCTACCCTCCTGCCATTCAGGAGCATGTCTGTCCAAAGCAGCCCCAGAAGTGGGCATGTAAGGTCAGCCACCCCTCCTATTGGATTAGAGCTATGCTAATTAATAAACAAACAAACAAATGCTAAGAAGAAAAAGGTCTTTAGTCCTAATTCATCAGCCCAAGAACAAGGGCTCAGAGGGCGCAGAGGGTAAATCCCCTCACTGAGGACTTACGAGAAGTCCCAATGCCAGGCTTTCTGCCACAGGCCTGTCCAATAAGGAAGCCCTCGTGCCCGCCAGCCCCCAGGGCTCCGGGTGCCTGGAGAGAGAAGGCCTTCCCACCCACCCCACGGCACGCAAACCCGGAGGCGGTCAGGCCCACGGCGCGGAGGCTTCAGCTCCAGGGCTCCTCAGTGGCACCCCACTTATCTAGTGTATCTCACTTTAAATTCGTAAATTTAATTATTTTTCTTAAAGAGAACTCCCATTGTATCAGCTGCAGGCCTCAGCAAACCCAGAAGCGCCTCTGTGTGTACCACGGACTTGTTCATTTGTCTGTGTCCGCCATTAAATTTTTAACACCTCAAGGACATGACATAGCTCTTGTCTTACCCTGTTTTATCTCTAGGGCGTGGCCTGGTGTCAGGAACTTACGAGTGTTTGTGGGAGGGGGAGGAAGGAAGGCAGGCCAGCCTGAAATGAAGGGTGAATTTCACTCATTCTGCATGGATCTCACCCTTCAAATCCTGCAGCATGAGTTAACCCTCTTCCCCCTGACGGCCCTCCTGATATTTGGCTCTCCCCTTCCAGCAACCGGAGCTCTTTCTCAAAGGCTCTCAGCGGCGGAAATTCCAGCAGCTCTCTCTGTGGCCAGTTTTCACTCCAAAGTGCCAGGAAGTCCTCTTATCTCATCGGAATGCCTGGGCCCCCCGGCTGCTCCTGGGTCAGCTGATAGTGTGTATTTGGGGGAGGAAATGCCTGAGTTTTAAGGGAAAGGTCGGTGCCTGTGACTCTCCCAGACCCAGAGGAGGCACAGGGACAAAACCAGCCTGGCCCCCCTGCCTGTCCTTTGCGCGGCAAACCCCACTCCCTGCCCTGTTCCCCTTCACCCCTCACTGGTCCTCTCTTCTCAGCACGGTGACTGGGCTCCACGAACATGCCCTGGGCCACCGCGCCTAAACCGCGTCCCCCCAGCCCCTGCCTGGCCCTGCCCCTGATGCCCATACACGTCTGTTTTTCAGCTTCCCCTCAGTCTGTTCCCCTCCCTGACTCCTTGCTAGGGTGGGAACTCCAGGGGTCTTTGTCGGCCTGGAACACAGCTGGGCGCTGAGAAAGAGCTCAGAAGTATGAGCTGGTGCGTGAAAGAAACCAGCAGTCATCAGCACACACTCTGTGTCTGTCCCGCTGGGGACAGGGGGCGCAGGGGTGTTCCAGGGGAGGCCTGTGCTGTGTGGGGCCTTCTGAGAGGGGACAAGGCCGGATCCTCGAGGCTTTGTTCCAGGGGTTCTTTGAAAGGAAGTGAACCCTGCCCATCTCTACCGCCTCGGTTCCCCATTCCACCTCCTCCCAAGAACATTATCGGAGCTCATTTTCTTATCTCCCCAGTCATATGCCTCTGGCTGCCTGTGACTAGGCAGGGCTTAAGCTCGTATCTACCCACTTTTGTACATAAAACTAGAAATCCCAAGGCCCAAGGGCTTTCGTTTCCACATGGACTCAGATATAGAGACCACAGGTCAGCTGCCCAAAGACATTTTAAAAGTAATTGCATTTTTATAGGGAGGGAGGTAGGCAACCCCCCCCCCCCCCGCAACCCTCCTCCTCCCACAGTGGAGGCCGTTACGCCCAAGCCGAGTCAGGCATCCCAGCGTCTCCGCTGGCCCTGCCGTGGTCACCACGGGCCACCTGTGGCTACTCCCACTTGAAAACTGGGAAGTGCGACTGAGAACTCAGTTTTTAATTTTATCCCACTTTCACGAATCAAAATAGAAACAGCCACACATGAGTGGCTGCCACAGGTGGGCTGCTCGGCTCCGGGCCGAGGGCTGGCCCACATCTCTGTCGGGAACAGACGGTGAATATTTCAGGCCCTGCGTGCACACGGTCTCTGTCACAACCGCCGCAGTGTGCCACGGTGCCGCAGGCAGGCCCGAACGGCGAGCTTGGCTGGGCGCTCCGAGAACTCTATTGACAAAAAATGTCCAGGCCACATTTGTCCTGTGGGCCACAGCTGTTGGCTGACTCTCACTCCAGGACACCCCAGGCCCCCCGGGGAGGCCTGGCAGGCACTTGTCAGAGAAGGGTGCCCCCTTGCAGGATTTTACTGATCAGTTTGCATGAGTCCCAGTTTCCTTTTCGGAAAAAGAGAGAGAGGCGGCCTGACCCTCGGGGAGGCCTGCGCTCTGCCCGGAGGGAGAACGCGTTCCCTCTTCGCAGACTCTCCGGGGAGAACAGGCCACGTTACGGAGAGACTGAGAGGGAGGGGTACACGACCCCATTCCCAACCAGCACGATCCAAGGAAGGAACCAGAAAAGATAACACCTGTCACTCATGCAGGGAGGGTTAGCGCCTCATTTACCTCAGTGGGTTGGGGGACGGTCCATCTCTGGTCCCCAGGTGGAGCTGTCCCGGCCACAAAGCTCAGAGCCACTGCCCACCACAGGCCCTGGCGACACGCATGACGCCCGTTGGCAGCTCCAGGTCAGAAAGGCCGAGGCGGAGGACGGTGCCAGCTGAAAGGAGACAGGAGGGAAGTGTCGTGAGCGTGGACATGAACTTGCTCCCCTGCCTTCTGAAAACGGCTCAGGATCGTCAGCCAGGCGTTCAACCCTTTCTCCACTTATGCAACAGGTTCACGGCAAATATTTTTTCAGTAAATACCTACTTTGTCCCGCGCACAGAGCCAGTGCCAGAGTCAGAAAGGTGAGTAAATCATAATCCCTGCCCTCAAGGAGCCCAGCCCGCTGAAGGAAACAGACCAGTAGCCGCATCCGTGGGTGCACGTGGGCCACGGGCCTGGGAGTGACATTTAGGAGAACCGAGGAAAAAATGACCCACTTGGTAAAAGAAGAACTTGAAAAGGAGTGGATGTTTTTAGCTGCTTCTCCGTGGAAGTACCAGGGAGATGCTGTTTTGCAAAAACAAAAAAACCCCACAAAAACAAAAACAAAAAACCCTTGAGAAAGTGTCTCCAGGAACAAGGGCGAAGGTGTGAAAGTTAAAGTGCAGGACAGTTGCTGGACCGACGGTCCCGGGCCCAGTGGGACTCGGCCTCGGGACACCTCACCTGGGAATACAAACAGACTCCCAGCCGAGCTCCTACCGGGGCCCGAACACAGAGAAGTGTGCAGGCCACACATTTTCTCATGTGACCCTCTCACAAAAGCCCCAAGGGGCCAAGCTGACTGTCCCCACATTACGAATGGGCAGCTGAGGCTTGGACGATGAGTCAACTTGCCCAGGGTGCCAACGGCAGTGAGTGGTAGCAAACAGACCAAAAGAGGACATCCCCGTTCTGTTCGGTTCCAAGTCTTCCTCTTAGCCACCGGGACAGAAGATGGCAGCAAGGCCCCCCAGTTTGCCCACTCCACCTTCTATGCACACCCCTTTGCAGTGGAGTTGACTTCTCCACCCCTTGACTCTGAACTTGGTCATGTCACTTGCTGTGGCCAAGGGGCCAATATTGCAGGACAGAATAAAGTGCTTATGCTCCGAACTTCCTCTATCTTGCTGCTGGGAATGAATTATGCTGCTGCCACATGAACACGCCTGAGCCAGCCCCTCCCCACACGGGATGAGACATTCCAAGGAGGGAAGCCCCAGGCTCAGCCCCCAAGCTGCTCTGGGAAAAGCCCCTGCCAAGCTGCCCAGACTCAAAAAAATGCCCAGTCAACCCCCGAACTCAGGACAAATAACAAATGTTTGTTGTTTGAGGCCCTGAGGTTTGGGGCTCTTTGTTACCTAGAGGAAGCTAACTGATACAACCCCCAAGTTATCTTTACAGCACTGACAATATCACACCATGAACACGCACGTTAGAAAGGAAGGGTGGTCCACGCAGGGGGCAGGCAAGAGTGAGTGAGGACCAGGCAGGGCTGTGGGCCAACGGGGAGGGAGAGATCCAAAACCATTTCCGAAGTAAAATAGCAGGCGTCAGCCACAGACCGACCCCAGATCCGCCTGAAGACTCTGGTGTTGACTATAAACAGATTCTATTTGGGGCTCGCTGGCGGGGGCCGGGTGTTTGCACAGAAGACACACACTGGGCCGGGGGAGGGTAGTTGGGGCTGAGTGTCCAGGGAAGGAGGCTGTGGGAATGGAACTTCCTTTCGGCTGCTGTCGTCTGAGAGAAGAATGAAGGCAGGTGCGCCCTGTCCCAGCCTCCTGACCTGGCCGGCGGTGCTGCCTCCTCAGTGCCAGCCCCTGCTCTTGGCAGGGGCCCAAGGAGTCCTTGTAAACGGTCACCCAGACCCCCCATCCCCAACTCACATCATCCCCTTCCCCCTGTACCTTCAACTCGGCCTTTGGTTTCAGTGTCAGTGGCCCTTCCCAGGGACAGCTTTGCTCACCACCTAGACAAGGCTAGATACGACCCCTGCACACTCCGGAAAGTTCTCTGTCCCCACAAAGCGTCTGTCACCAGCCTGACAGCTCCGTGAGGGCAAGCGTGTTTCTGTCCTACTCACCACTCCCCCATGGCCACCCAGCACTCGGCTGGCCGTGAGGGAGAGAGCCAATCACCATTTCTCAGGAGAGAATGAACCCAAGAATCCCTGTGTCCAGCTCCAAGCTGCTCTCTCTGAGAGCCTTCTTTTAGGGGCCTCACCAGCCTGGGCACAGGCAGCTTCCTTCATTCACCTGCTTGTCTTCATTCCTTTGCCTATTCCTTCATGCTTGCATTCACCAAAAAACTCAGCAGGTGCCAGAGAGCACCTCAGTCGTGCGGCTTGTTACTCTGAGTAGACTGAGTGCCTCAGGGGTGGAGGGACAGGGCAGTATTCTCCTTACCTCCAGATTCCCCACCCCAACCCGCAATGCACAGCCTATGGGTATAGGAAACACTCGGTAATGACCAATGAATGAATGAATGAATGAATAATGAAGGAAGGAAAGAAGCAGATGAACCTCTGAGCACCATTAGGAAGTGCCTGATTTACCACCAGCAGGAACCTCTAGCTGAGTGTTATGTACGCTACATCTTACTAAATAATTGATACTCACCATAACACGGAAGCCTGCAGGCACATCCACGCATATAAGGAGCTCTATGATCATTGGTCGGTGCCATCAGATGTAAGGGGAAAGTCTGCCGATGAAATGACACGCGGAGCCCTGCTCCCACCTGAGCCCCGGTGTGTGGCCAGGTGCCTGTGACCTTCAGCTAGAGCCTAAGACTCCCCTTGAAGCAGGACATCCACCAGAGGCAATTCTGTCATTTGTCTTCTTGGCCTTTATAAATATATCTGGCGATTTGCGTTACCCCAACTGGTGAGCTTGTAACCACGGGGCTTTTAAAGACTAGACTGTACCCAGGAGCAGGGCCTGGGCTCCAAACATGCACAGAAGGTCTCTATCCCACTGCCTTACCTGCCGGACCCAGGAGCACGTCATCAGCTACCTAGACTCTCCTTGCCCTTTGCTTTGTGACTTGAGCCCTGAAAATTTTTTGAAAACCTATGTGTCGGCTCTGCTTGCCACACTCTGCCCTCCTCGTTTTCCTCTATTCCTCCCATTTCCCCAGCCCTCCCACAATTACTTCCTACTCAGAACGACAACTCAACTGTTAAAAACAGATGCAGGGCGTTTTTACACACCGGCCATCCAAGGAAGACCAGTCAGACATAATCCCCAGGTTCAGGGAGACCCAGAAAGGGTCCTGTGACTCGCCCAAGGTCACAGAGGACACAGAGACCCAGAGAGGTGGGCTCGCAGGTCACAGGGCTGGAGAGCAGGGCTCAGGTCCCCACTGGGCGCTCACTACCATGCTCCCTGCCCCTCGTCCAGCCCCTCCAGCCTCTCATAAGCACCCACCAAACTGGCCACCACCAGGCAGCGACCCAGACCCTCCCCAGCGAGTTGGGCTCAAACCGGGTGACTCAGAGGCCAAGAGAATGTCTGGTGACTCTTGCTGGTGCACAGAAGATGCAAAATCCCAGGAAAAGCCACAGTTCCATTTCCCTTCTGCTCTTCTGGGTTTATAATTAGCCCCCTCCCCCCATCAGTGCCTCCACCGCTCACAGCCCACTTACGCACCCTGATGTCCATCTCTCCTGTACAACGTAACACAGTAAGTCACACGAGAGATGCTGTTCCCAACTTTGTTTCTTCCCGGTGCAGAGCAGAGGACTGGAAATAAAACTCTGGTGCAGTCCTGGATGGGAGCAGCCAGTTTGCTCAATAAATCATCGCTTCCCCCTCCAAGCGCAGGGATCCCCCTCCAAGTCACATGTATCTTTGTTCAGAGCCCGTGGTCAGGCCGTGTTCCGAAGAGCGCGGCCTGCGGCTCGGTGTGCTGAGCCGGGAGGCTGGTCAGGTCCAGCTGCCTGACTGTAAACAAACGGCCTTTTGCTGAGTGTGAGTTTGCTCCCCGGGAAATGGACACTCTAGCAGCTTCAATACTTTCAGGGAGGTTCTCAACACAAAGTGACTAGAAAAACTTTAATAAAATAATAATCAGGGGGAAGTAGTGGCGATCAGCAGTAGCAGATACCATCTCTAAGTGCTTACATGAGCTCTGCCAAACCAAGCTGTTTGTGCTCACAACCCCAGTCCATCCTCACAATGGTCTGTGATGTGTGTGCTATTATTTGCATCCTTTTGCAGATGTGTAAATGGAGGCTTGAAGAGATTGACTTGCTCAAGGTCACGGTAAAGAGTGGAGCCTGAACGATAAACTGATTCCTCGCTGGGCTCTATAGTCAGGCCAGGACTAACCGATTCCCACCAGCATTTACTGAGCCTTTCCCAGGCTGGGATGGTGCTCTGCCCTGGTGGGGACAGCAGTACACTCCTGGGCTTGCCTGAGAGGAACCCACTGCATGGGGAGGGCACATGGGCACATGGGCGAGGAACAAGGCCTCTCTGTGCCCAGTAGGAGGTGGTGAGTGAACAAGTGGGTGGTCTCGAGTCTGCATTCCTGTCTAGAACACAGTGACCGCGGAGAATGAGATCAAGACAGACACTGTCTAGCCAGACCAGGCTGCAAAGGGGACAGGTGACCCAGAATGGGAAGGTGCGAGGGCAGATCAGAAGCTGATGGAAAAATCTCGCGTGTGCTGGGACGCCAGGCGTGTGATGAGAGCGGGGCACAGGGGCAGAGACGCCGGGTGCAAGAATCAGGACAACAGGGCTGCTGCTGAGGGCGGCGGAAAGCAAAGCAGGGGTGGCTGGGTGGTCCCTGCAGCCGGGGGTGGGGGGAGACCGTGTGGCCCGGTGCTGAGGAAGCTAGATTGGCGCGTCTGAAAATGAACCAGAACAGAAGTGCATGCTTGTTGGGCTGCAAAAGCCGTTCTCTGGCCTGTGCCGTCCCTCCCTGAAAAGGGTGAGCACGCTGGAGCACCGTGGGTCTCCGAGTTCGGAGGCTAAGCGCTTCGCCAGGGGAGACGTGATTATTAATAATAGATACCATGGAATAAATACAGGCAATAAGGCCAGCACTGTGCTAAGCATTTCCGGTGCCCGATTCATCTCATCTTCACGGCAGTCCTCAGAGGGGAGCAGTCCTCCCCCCATT